TTTGGACTGGAATCGACCTGCAAACTTAACTGACCTGGCATTATTTGGACTGGAAGTGATCTGCGAACTGAACTGACCTGGCATTATCTTGGACTACGATTGTGTGTTTTGTGATTTAGAGTTCTGGCGCATTTTGGACTGTTTGGCGTTTAACATGCCGCAACCGTACACACCGCAGGAAAACGCTAATATGCCTTTAATCTATGGAGAATGCCGATGTAATGCTAACGCTGCGCTGCTAGCAGACTGTATCGAGAAAGATATCTAAATGCTCAAAGATATCGTGATTATCGAGTGTTTATTAATGTGCATGAAGCGTTTTCGGAGAGTCGTATGCCATCCAATAGGAGAAGCGCTGGAAGACCTAGATTGCATCGTGATGAAGAAGTTCTCAATGAGATAGAAAATGATTCGACTACTTCGGTACGTGCCATAGAAGAAGCTACAGGAATCTCGAAAAGTTCTGCACATCGAATATTAAAACGTCACAAACTTCACCCATATCACTCTACAGGCGTGTGCAGACGTTATTACCGCGGGACTATCCGCTACGAGTCACATTTTGCCGTGTGATGCTGCAAAGGCACAGTGAAGATCCCCAATTCCTAGACAAAATTCTGTGGTCGGATGAAACAACATGCGAGAGATGGGTATTTAAATCTTCACAACCTACATAGTTGGAGGAATGAAAACCCGCACTTGATGAGACAAGACAAATCTCAATATCAATTCAAGGTTAACCTATGTACCGGCATATTAAATGGAAAAGTAATTGGGCCCTTTGAGTTACAAGGAAACTTAGATGGCAATAGTTATTTAAACTTTTTACAAAATGACTTGCAAGAATTGTTAGACGACGTGCCCTTAAGTGATTTGTCGGATGGTTGCCCAGCACATTATGCCCGTCCTGTGCGAGAATATTTAAATCAAGAGTATCCAGGGCGTTGGATCGGGCGACTTGGTCCTATCTTTGGCCACCCCGTTCAACCGATTTGAACCCCCTGGACTTCTTTTGGGGTTGTCTTAAAAACAGGGTCTACTCAAAACCCATTGCGACATTGGACGAGCTTCGTCGAAATATCACTCAGGCTGCTGATTACATTAATAAAGCAGAAGATATGCAAGACAAATATAACGATCATTTTTAAGGCGATGTCGTGCATGTATTAATGCTGGTGGCAAACAGTTCGAACATTTTCTATATTGTTAATAACTTAATAAATTACACGTGAAACTGTTTGTACCATTTGTTTTGAAATATTAATCATTTTTCAAGAACTAATACTTTTATTACACCCGACCGTCATTTGGCCCCTGTTAAGAAATAATAGGCCCATATTTTTTTATAACTTGTTTTCCTAGAGTATTATACCATTTTGGAATGTTGGTTAGTTGCGTTAATTTTAAAAAAAAAACTTGCCATACTAGTGTTCATACTTTTTTTACACCACGATTAGTTAAAGTTGGTTAAAAGTAAAAGTCTTCAAAAAATTTAGGGAATAAAATAAGTTTCATTAATTTTTGTGATAAAACAAGAGTTATTCTGGATTTTTTAAGATTGTGGTAGATAGCAGTGCTATTCAGGTTGCCTATAAAAATAAAAAAATATTAAAAAATATTGTGGTCATGGTAGTGAAAAATATCATAAACGGTCTCAATTTCTGAAGAATTTCGTTTTTATATATAACTTAAAATATATTTGGGATATATATTTTTTTTCTTTTATTCCCCGATTAGTCCGGGGCAGGTCTATCCTCCAGTGTTGGCTTATCGTTGAATTTTGGGACATGTTGTATATGTCGTCATACCGTTGCGTTCCCAGAAAAAGCAACCAGTAACAGGATTCTCTGATGTGCTCATGGGCGACGGGGGTGTTTCTGGAACTGTAATATTGGAGGTATGTCTCACCGACGACGTAGCCGTTCTTTTCTTTTTAGCTGAAGTTCTTTCATTACTGGATGATGACGATTCATCAGTAGCGCAAATATAATCATCACTGCTAGATGATCCAAAATCACCATCGTCTGATGAATCTGAAATTCTCAAGTCATCTAGTAGGTATTTTGAAGAATTCTCTTGTGTCGTGTTCCTCTTATTGTCACAAACCGTTTCCGCAGCAATTGGAAGGTCCCGCGACTCTTCAACTTCTTTTTCTTACTTCTTGCGTCCCTATTGATATGTTGCCTTCTTCCTGGATATCACTAGTTTTTTCTTTGTCAATAACCGTTTCTGCAACTATTGGATCCTGTTGACACGACCCTTTAACTATTTTTCTTGTTTCTTGCTCCTCGCTTGATTCGTAGCCTTGTTGATATTCCTGAGTATTACAATATTTTTCTTCAATTTCGGCTTCAGAGGCCAATTCCATTATTTTATCAATTCGAGATTTTAACTGAAACAAACATTATTCTATTTAGCATTATATACATTAAAGTTTTGAAAACGAACACTTGTCTCTAAAAAGACTTTAAAATAATAAATCAAAGGTTAATTAAAAAGACAGAAAATGACTTTGAATACCTAGTTAAAACAAAATAATAGGGACAAAATTGCAAAAGAAAAGATCAAGTAACTTAACTATGACTATACGAAAACATTACGTTATTTTGTGTCAGGTGATTTAATTCAATACCAAAACAAAAAATCCAATATTATGGAAATTCGTGTAAAATGATACGTCTATCGACTTACGCGTCGATCCATGGCGCATTCGGACGTGACCTCACTCCATCAATGCCGCAGCGACACTGCCATAGATAATACCTATATACCAGAGATACATAGATGTGCCACTCACATTTCAGTTTTTGAAATAGTGTACCCTGCACGCTAGATGACGCTGTAGACTTTAGTAAAACGCGTCTTGCGGTAGGTATCGATAAATGGCGTATTTTATGCAATAACTATGCTGATTATTTACGAAACGTACAATTTTATTATCAATGTTTATGTTATTTACTAGATAATTATTGGATATAAAAGTAAGGTTACAAAAAAAGCACCGCACCACCGAGCATGTGGTAAATCACCAGATTTCCAATCGATCAATTTCAGCGATGGCGGCGGGGATCGAACCCACGGATACACGCGTGCTGTGGAATTTACAGTGAGAACTATCCAATTGAGCTACCTCCGATCTTTTCACTTCGACAAAAATGTCTAATTATTGGATATCTCCAATAATAATCCCAAATCTCCAAAAGGAAATTTTGTAGATAACATTAACACTAATAAAACTTGGCCTATTTCACATAAGATTTTTTAAAATATATATAAAAGGCGAAGAAAACGACGAAAAAATTTATAAATAATCATAAGACATCTTATTATGATTTTCACAGGATAGGAATGTAAAGTCGCAAAATATTTTCGTTTTCTGAGTCATTGTATTTTTAATATTCTTTATTTGTGATTCTTCAATCAATTGAGTTTGAATTATTAAACAATCTTCATCCATGAATGAACACAACACCGATGGATATTCACTGGACCTTTTTAATAGTCTCTTCTCTTTCTAAAATATAATTGAGTAGTTATATAGTATATACTGTAGTATCTTACACATGTCATTTCTTATATATTTTATACACTTATGAACTAAATACTCAGCAACATAACTTTGAATTAAATTTGAAAGAACTGTGAACGAATTTTATTAAAAATTGCTATGATGAATTGTCAATTCAAACTTTTTGTTTTTGTGGATTTTGGATCATTAGGTAAGAACCCCAGTTTTATCTAACGAACGCCATCTTTACTACGCTTAAGAAAACTATCCTACAAGTTTATGTACCCCGCTCACTGGAGGGCAGAACTTTCTATGCATATTTTATTCTTGTGAATTTGTATGGAAGTTTCATCCCCCCTGGACACTGCGGGCGGAAAGCACGAGCAAAACTCAAAAATACGGCTCCAGGTCCCGCACCTCCCCGATCACGCGTTGCTTCACCCCCGCGCACCCACACTACCTACACTCGTATCATTTAGCACATAATAGTTCTACATAATTATTTTTAGAATTGGTTTGACTTTAAAATACAATTACATTTATATCTGTTTACACATAAAAAACAGATTTGTGTAGAAAGATTTATCTCACGATGTATCACTTTTCACAAAAAATTCATAAATTCACATTCGGATCGGTAGGTATATGTCGATTTGTACCCTAGGCATATCGAAAAGAATCGGTTCAAAAGGATATTACTCTAGACACATCAATATTCACGATAATTGTACTGAAAAATAAAATATGAAATTGAATACATATTTTATTGCATTTAAATCACGAAGTACGAAAAATAGTGCATTGAGTGATTACTTATGGAGGTTACATCTTGACAAATATTGATATTCACTAATTTTTTCCCAAATTCTGGACAGTTATATCACTTTGCACAAAATTATCTCCGAAACTATAGCAGATAGAAAAACGTGTGTTAGACCAAAAAATCGTAATTATTTTCTGTGTGTGTGTTCACAAAAAAGGGTACAACTCAACTTAAATCACTCATCACAGGAGGCACAGATATATATATATATATATATATATATATATATATATATATATATATATATATATTATAAGGGTAGCAAATGAGCACACAGTCCACCTGATGGTAAGTGGATGCCGTGGCCCAATAGACATCTACATCTAACCTCACCTAATAATCAAAATGCAGATGCGTTGCCACCCTTGAGGACTAAGATGGAATGCCTCGATTCCAGTAAAACGGGTCTCCGGTTATCTACACTCACCATACGAAACAGCAGCTTTAAGCAGCTATTTTACGCTGGTATTCTATGAGAGCGCGGTCACTCCCTGGTCGAGCCGACCCATTAATGCTACAACCACAATAGCTGCAGTGTGGCTCTACCACATATAAAATGTTTGTTTTGACAATTATGAAAAAGTATTTCATTTGACTGGTGTAAAATACCCGATTACTTTCGTGATTCTTTTTTTTTGTAGTTTTTATTCCAATATAAAATTATTACAGGAACTTGAAGAGTATGAAAGGAATGGCGATGTAAAACTCAATGTTGCGTTCTCTCGGGACCAAGCTCAAAAAGTTTACGTCACTCATTTACTTGAAAAAAATATGGATGAATTATGGGATGTAATAGGAAATCGTAATGGACATTTCTATATTTGCGGGTAGGCTTCTAATTATTTTAAAAATTTATTTAAAAGTTAATTTAAGTACCAGCAAATAACGGTTTTTTTTTCATAAATTTCAGGGACGCTAAAAACATGGCAGTAGACGTCCGTAACATTGTACTGAAAGCGATACAAGAAAAGGGTGGTCGTACAGAATCGGAGGCCCTTCAATTCCTGAAGAAGCTTGAGTTTATGAAGAAATATTCATCTGACGTATGGAGCTAAGCAAGATGTTATTTATTATACTAGTTAATTTTACAAACTGGTGGGCACATTGTAAACGTGAGATAATGTAAGTATTTTAATTGTGATGAGTCCTACAATATGTTATCCAAATACCATTTTATATTTTTCTAAATATATATATTTTCATTTATTGATTAATGAGAAATCGTACTAAAATAAGAATTATAATATGACGTACAAAAATACAATTATGTAAGTTTTATTCAAGCTAAATTGGTTTTCAATATACAGTAAAAAAATTATATAATCATAATGACGGTATGTCCTGAAAGGAGTTTGTTTGCGCTAACACATAGTGGTTGTTATTGTTGTGTATATTACGTGTTGTATGTTTTATATAAATGGACTGGGATATAAGCTAAGAAAATGTGGTTATTTTGTATGTTATATCAATAAATCGTTTTATATAAATGTTTGTTTTATTTCTCTTTTTCCCTCTAGTTAGCATTGCCAGGCGTCCGGATAAAGCCAGACACAGTCAGGCTTTTTGGTTGCGTATCCGGTCAAATTAGACAGTGTCTGGCCTGTCCGGCTTTTGTTAGACTTTTTAAATTTGACCATTTCTTTACATTTTTCATGTACTTACATACATACTATATACAGTGTGTCTGGTCGTGACCTAGCGATAATTTAAGGTTACAAAATATACCTAATTTCATCGACGAAAACACTCATATATGGGGGTCTACCCCCCCCCCTCCTGTCGGAATGGCCGCCATTAAATTTTTTTTATTCATGTAGATACTTCTGCCAAAAGATGCAGATTTGACTGGACAGAAAGGTCCTACAGATGTAAAAAAATGTTATTTAAAAGGTAAAAATAGCATCTATCAAATAAAAATAAACATCATGGAAAGTTTTCCCCACAAAATATCTTAAAACATTTACAATGGTAATTTAAGTAAAAAAAATTTACTATTTTTTTATTTTTCTTAACATACTTCAAAAACTAGCACATTGATACTAAAATTTTTAATACTGTCCTAATACTTGAGGATAATATTACTTACAAATTGACATTTAAATTACTGTTCTTAATTGCATAACTCAGAGTTAGGGCTGTTTGAATATGACCCTTTTGCGAGGGTCATGTACAGTCGGGGCTCATATTATTAGAGCCACAGTAAAAAAGTAGATTAATTTTAGTTTAGGTAGAAATAAAATCAGGATGTGAAGGTTTTTTGTTTAGAATATATTTTATTAAGTATATTGCTTTATTAATACATTTAAGAAAACGGAACTTATGTATTTAATAAGTGCAATAAATATAAAAATATAAATTAAATCAATATTTAGTGACACCGCCTTTTGCTTCTATAACCGCCTGAATTCTCCTGGGCATACTTTCGATACATTTTGAGCAGTTTATCTTAATTGATTCACTCCGGTGCCAAACATCTATCAAACGCTCGATCAGTTGGCGTTTATTAGTGATGAGTTCTCTGGAAATTTCTCGTTTCACAACTCCCAGAGGTTCTCTATGGGATTGAGATCCGGCGAATTCCCAGGCCAGTCAAGAACTTTTACTTTCTGGGCATTTAAAAATTTCGTGACCTTTTTTTGCTTTATGGCAAGGAGCAGAGTCATGCATGAACGTAAATTCGCCGTTCGGAAACCACTCCTGGACCTGGGGCATTTTTGTCTCAAGGACCTGGATATATTGATCCTGCCGCATCGTTCCCTCCACAATGTATAGACGACCAGTGCCTTTGCTGCTTATTATGGACCATACCATGATGCTGAATGGGTGCTTCACTCGCTTGATTATGCAATCTTCTTTGAATTTCTCACCCTTCCTTCTTCTTACAAATACAGCTTTGTCCGACAAAATTTGCACTGACGATTCATCAGAAAAACAAACCTGAAATATTTATTATTATTTTAGTGTACAGAAATCAAAATTTAAATTTAATTTAAATTAATGTGGATCTAGCTTTTTACTTCCAGCAGCTTCAAGAATTATTCACCTACCTTATTCCAGTCTTCAGCAGTCCAGTTCTGGTGTTCTTTTGCCCATTGTAAACGCTTTGACATCATAGCCTGTGTAAGAAGAGGTTTTTTAGCCGGTCGACGACAAATGAACCCCAAGTCTTTCATGCGTCGACGAACTGTTGCTAGGGAAATGTTGATTCCAGCGTCCTGTACCTTCTTCGTAAGAATCTTCCGAGGTGCCTTCCTGTTTTCAACACAGATATCCCTGATTTTTCTTTCATCACGTGGCGTGGTAATTTTCTTTCGTCCACAATTTTTCGCACGTTTCGGCGTCAGGTCCACATTTGTGTCAAGTTTTTTTTTATTTGGTCAACTGATGCCCTCGAAACATTAGCAATCGATGCAATCTTTCTTGGGGAATGCCCAGTATGCAATAATAAAGTTTTAATTTCGGAAATTTTCCTTGGAGACAGATCTTTAGCTTTTCCCGTGATTAAAATATATCCTGCAAATAAAATAACAAAATTTATGTGAAAATGATTTCTTTTAGCAACAAACATATTTAAGCAAGCTGCATATGGACAAACATTGTTAAAACACACCAACACTACAAAAAAATTGGTAAAAATGCATAAATAATCTCCAAAATACTCACCCGGACAACGAAACTGTTAAGCGTCGACCCCGTCAGGGTAAATGTATTCTGTGGCGTCGACTGACTGTGTTACAACAAAATGGCGACCATGTGACAGATTATCCACTTTTTAGTGTTGCCAGTTAAAAATTCATAATCTACACAGATCCATAAATTCATAATAACAAAATATAAACTTAGCAGACATAGTTTGAATGCAATATATATTGATTAAAATGCCAAATCGATTATTTAAGTAGATGGCTCTAATAATATGAGCCGCCACTGTATGTAGAGCCTCATATAAGAGCGGTTTCAATTTTTTTGACCCCCTCTTAAATCGGTGTGTCCCACATAATTAAATAATTTTTTTCTAAATATAATCGTAGTGTTGAATAAAATACTGGATTTAGATGGTAACTCAATTTGTAAACTAGTACTTAAAATAATAGTAATAGATATTCATGCATTCAATTATTTAAAAGAGTTTTAAGCTATTGCATAGCTTCTATCGCGGGCCTTGAGCGCGGGGACCGAATCCAGAAATTCCGTAACGAAAAAAACCTCACGCTCCCCACTCCGACGGGCACGGAGTTTTTTTTCAATTTTTTTGACCCCCTCTTAAATCGCTGTGTCCCACATAATTAAATAATTTTTTTCTAAATATAATCGTAGTGTTGAATAAAATACTGGATTTAGATGGTAACTCAATTTGTAAACTAGTACTTAAAATAATAGTAATAGATATTCATGCATTCAATTATTTAAAAAGAGTTTTTAAGCTATTGCATAGCTTCTATCGCGGGCCTTGAGCGCGTTGACCGAATCCAGAAATTCCGTAACGAAGAAAACCTCACACTCCCCATTCCGACGGCACCTCCGTGCCCGTCGGAGTGGGGAGCGTGTGGCTTGAAGGCCGTGCATTGTCTAACGTCGTTTCTTTTCGGCAGTCTTCGACAAGGTGTTTGTGTGCGTGCAACTAGACGTAATGTACGACTCTACGAAGGTCGCACGAATCGAGACGAGCTGCTCCGAAATCGGACGAATACATAAGCAGCTGTTTATGAGAAAGTATATAGGTGTATAGGTATTTATGTACAACAGTGAATAGCTGTACTTGTAAAATTTGTGTATAAAGTGTTTTGAATATGAATGAAAAAAGTGCATTTATTATTAACAAACTTATGTTTCTTATTTCAGTTATCACAAACCTATAGTTTCAATGATAAATATTCCTGAATAACCAACAGCTACGGTAAGATAATAAAACCCACATGTATTGTAAAATAATAAAAATATTTTAAACAATATTAACTTTTTATTTATTTAATAAAAGAAAAAAAAATGTTTTCTTATCGGTCACCACGCTCAAAAAGTGTAACTTGAATTAATATCAAAGAAAAAGAAATACTGCATAAATAAAATAAATAAATAATTATAATTGCATAAGTTGATACAAAATGCTATGCAATAGCTTTACCGCGGCAGTCCCCGAGTGCCCCACGTCTTTTTTTATAATGAAAGACCACTAATTTACTTGTTCCATGAGTAAAATGGTAACAAAATCTTAAAATTACTTTCCTTTTTACTATGAAAGCATACGACAGTTATAATTTAAAAATCATAAACAGTGATATCTAAACGTAATAAAACACATTAACTTGCAGTATATTATGTATAATAATGAAGAAATAATTTTAAATATCGGGTCGTAAATTAGGGTCACCTGACATGTCAAGTATTGTTACTCATTTTAGAATATTATTTTAAACTACTACACATTTTTTATTCATGGTAATGGCAACACGAACATTCAATTATCAAACTGCCATTTTTTAAAACAGTGTTCAGTTGTGATAGTCTAAAAGGACGAGAGTGTTATGTTACCCAAGAGTTACTTCAATATTTTTGTCAAGGTAAGTTATCGAATTTTAAATGATTTTTAATATGTATTATAGTACGTATTATACGTATACGTATATATACGTATTATAGTATTTAGAGTCATGCATTACAATCTAAAGATGAAATATGAACGCACACACTCGCAGCACGTACGTAGTACGCAGTGAGTGAGCAACTGTAGCCACATGCGCCTTCGGTTGATCACTGGTAATTCCTCCATGATTTCTCTAAATATGTTCCTTAGAAAATCTAAAAATCTTGGGCCATTCATTGTATTTGGTAATTCAATTCGTCCAATTAATTTGTCGTCAATCATAGCCCACACATTTACTGAAAATTCACGTTGAAATTTACTGGGCCTTACTGCATTTGGATTTTCTTGCATCCATAAATGCTGGTTTCTATGGTTTATAATACCAGCTCTTGTAAAAGTCGCCTCATCGGTCCACATGATTTTTTTACAAAATGTCGGTTGACGTCGCACACAAACGTTGAGCCACGAGCAAAA